GAGAGCACTACTGAAGAAAAACAAAGTAGAAGGTCTCACACACCCTGATCTCAACACCTACTATACTGCCATGGTAGTCAAAACAGCCTGGTATTGGTAAAATGATAGACCTGTAGACCAATGGAATAGAATTAAGAATACAGAAATAGATCCATCCACCTATAGACAGCTGGTCTTTGATAGAGGGCCAAAACCCATTCAATGGGGAAGAGATATTTTCTTTAACAAATGGTACTGGCAAAACTGGATATCCTTTTGCATAAAAATGAAACAAGACCCATACCTCACACTATACACAAAAATGAGTGCAAGATGGATAAAAAACCTAAATGTGAAACCCCAAACTATAAAGTTCATCAGAGATAAAGTAGGGGTAAAATTAGGGGTCCTAATTTATGGCAACATAAACCAAAATGCACACACAATACAAGATAAACTAGATGATTGGGGCTTTCTGAAAATTAAGTTATTATGTGCATCAAAAAACTTCTCCAAAAGAGCAAAAGGGGAACTTACAGATTGGGAAAAAATATTTGGCAACAACACATCTGTCAAGGGACTTATCTCTAAAATTTACAGAAAACGTCAACACCTCAACATCAAAGAGACAAAACAATCCAATTCAAAAATAGGCTAAGGACATGAACAGATACTTCATCAAATAAGATATTCAGGCAGCTAACTAACACATGAAGAAATGCTCACAATCATTAGCCATTAGAGAAATGCAAATCAAAACAACAATGTGATATCATCTTACCACTGCAATAATAGTGAGATTAAACTAAACGGAAAACAACAAATGCTGATGAGGGTATAGAGAGATTGGAACTTTCATACATTGGTGGTGGAATTGTAAAATGGTACAAGCATTGTGGAAAATGATATGGTGCTTCCTTAGAAAGTTGAATATAGAAATACCATTTGATCCAGCAATCCCACTACTAGGAATATATTGTAAAGAGGTGAGATCCAGGATGTGAATAGATATATGCATACCCATGTTTATCGCAGTACTATTCACAATAGCAAAGAGATGGAAACAACCTAAGTGCCCATCAACAGATGAATGGATAACCAAACTACGGTACATACACACAATGGAATATTATGCATCATTATAGAATAACGGAAGAACCCATTAGTCACCTCATAATATGGATGAAGTTGGAGGACATTATGCAGATTTAAATAAGTCAATCACAGAAGGACAATTATTATATGAGTCCATTATTATAAAAAGGCAAGAGGTTTACATAGGGAAGGACATTTTCTTTGTTGCATACCAGGCTTTAAAGGATAGAGAAGGGAAAATTGCTGGCTAGTTAAGAGACGTGTGTTGATTTGGGTGAAGGCAAAGACAGTATAACAAAAGCATTTGACCAGCACAGTATCACTAAGGAAAAGGAAGCCACAGAGAGGTGCACAGGAGGTACAGACAACAAAGGTAAATACTATTACACACACATTACTGCATTATCAGTATTAACAGATACAAATCAATGAGTGTATACATAGGTAGAGAGGAAAGAAGACCAGGTATCGGTAGGCAAACAGAAATATACTTATGACCATATATATAGGCTTGGCAGACAATATTCCTACATACATATTTGTATGTTCTATAAAAATGTCCATATATATTACAGAGCTAACAGGGACAAAGTTAGGATAACTTCCTAGCCATAACCAAGCACCTTGAAGATGTGTGTCACTGGGCCTCTGGGCTTGGACCATGGTTGCTGGGGACATTAAGCTCAGTGGGCAGAACAAAGCATATGAAAACATTGTTCTACATCCTACTTTAGTGAGTAGCAACTAGGGTCTTAAAAGCTTGTGAGTATCCATCTAAGATGCAACTATTGGTCTCTCCTTGTCTTTAGCAAAGAACAGTGAAGAAAATCAAAGACACATGGAAACAATTAGCTCAAGGAACCAATGGACTATGAGAAACAGCCTACGTGAGCCTGAGACCAGAACTAGATAGTGCCTGGCTAGCAATACCAACCACTTGGAAAGGGATCAGAATTGGAGATTCTGGGTAGAGTGGGAGAAAAATGTGGAACAAAATTAGAAACATTATAAAAGACCAGGATTGTTGGTTGGATAGAGGCTAGTGAAACCCCCAAGACTATGGCCCATAGTTACCCATTGGGCCTGGAATTGTTCTCACTCCTGTGGCTTAATTCTCAGAGAAACAATATACATGCCTACTAGCTGAATAATTACACCAGGTACATGTACTTCTTAGAACAATCAACCATGGGAGATCTGAAGGGCAGCATGTATGCAGGGAGAAAGCTAGAGAGGTAAGGTGCTTAGGTAAGAAAGAAACAGGGAAATGGTAACCATAGGAAGGAAGTGAGAAGAGAGCTGTTACAATGTGGGAGATTGTAGTCAGTGTCACGAAACAAAATATGTATGAACTGTTGAATGGAAGATGAATCTGCTCTGTAAAATTTCACCAAAATCATAATAAAATGTTACAAAGAAAGAAAGAAAGAACCCAACATATAGAAAACTTAAGGTTTCTGATTATTTTATGAAATTATTACTTTAATTCTTTTTCTAAAGGATTTTTAATTCACCAGCATTCTGCATAAATCATCACCCACCTTATATTTTTAAAACATGTTTATTGATTTCATATGGCATATTGCCCAGTATAATGAATTGGAATCTCCAAGAAACCTCTCTGTTGATAAAGTTACAATCTTAAATCTTTTTTTGTTCTTTATTTTTCTTCAGTTTTGGCCTGAGGATAGAAGTACAATCAATGAGTGAATTTATAAAAATCAGGATGTTCTGGAAAAATTGGAAATGTCTAGTGAAAAATAGTAGATTTATTTAGACTTTCATAGTCTACTTAAATGGTCTTTCTCTGGGCCCAAAGGCAACATCATTGATTTTTTTAAAAAACTATAAACATGTATCCATATCTTTCTACACTGTGTTTTAATTTTTTTTTAGGTACAACATGGACCAAATGTGTCAAAGAAATCTAATTTTAAAAGTTGTCTCTTTCGCAACAAACTTTAGAGACTATTGGTGGCAAATAGTTGGAATGAATTAAAGCAAATGTCAGATTATCAGATTTTAGGAACACTGTATACTTTTTTTTGATAGGTAAAATAGAGACTGAATGGTTTTCTGCAGTGTCCTATACTTATTTAAATGTAATTTCTTCCTTATAATCTTATGATGGTGACATTCTTAAAGCTTCCTGATGAAAAGATTTGACTTTGTATTTTTTTTTTTTTGGGTGATATTTGGATTACATTGTTTTCTTATACCTCTAATTTTGAATCAGTAAGTAGAGTGCAGAAAGATAAACTCAAGGTTAAATTAATCAGTGAATGACAGCCTGAAATAGCACACATTATAATGATTTCTTTTTAGTACTAGTCTTCTGAAGATTTTATATCTTAGTATTGATCTGTTAAAGCTGTCAGGGTACTAGGTACTCTAGTAGCAGAAAAAAATATTTATATATATATTTCATCAAGTTTCTGATTTGGGAGTAGCACTTTCGTAGATGTTTAAAACTATTATAGAATACATGAGTTCGGAGTGCATATGAGTATCAGAGCCTAACAGGAAATAGGCACCACTTGAATATTTAGAGTAGAGGGGATCTGTAATGTGGGAAAATGAGAATAGAATAGCTGCAAAGCCAAAGAGAAGTCAGTAAAACAATACAGACAGCTTAACAGCAGCAGGAGGTCAAAAACAGTGCTATCCCAGAGCCTATGGGCTGTGGTTACACATTGTCCAGAGAAAGCTGGAGCAATGGAGATAAAGTAGATGCTCCTGGAGACCCCTCTAAAATCAGAGAAGGCAGGCCAGTAACCCTGAGGCTTCTTCCTCCCTACCTTCCATCAGTTGCCCCAGTGTCTCTCCTTGGCTGAACCTAGCTCCAGCTGATAGTGGCACCTGAGAAACAGCCTGCTCTGTAATGTGGAACAAATCAGGGAAATGACAAGGAGCAGATCTGAAGGCGGACAGGTCCAGGTCACCAGACACCTAAACACTCCAAACCAAACTCACTGCCACTGAGTCAATGCCAACTCATAGCGACCCCCTTTGGGTTTCCGAGGCAGTAAATCTTTATGGAAGTAAATTGCCCAGTTTTCCTTTTGTGGAGTGGCTGATGGGTTTGAACCACCAACCTTCTGGTTAGCAATCAAATTCCTTAGGCAGTATATTTTAATAAGTCATAAAATTTTGGGGAAAATTAAATTTAGTTGGAAATTTGGGTTTCAGTGCTACATGGCTTTTTATTATTTCTTTGTTGTTAAGTACCTTCACATAAATATTTGCCTAAATACTTTTTTTTTCTTATTTTATTTACAAAGTCATAGCATTGAAAGATTAAATGTGTGTATTGAAGGTCATATTTCTAGTAAATGCTGAAGCTGGGAGTAAAGCCATACTATTTAATAACTTATCCAATAACATTTTCCCATTTCATATTGGAGAATCAGATAAAATCTTCATGGAATAGTGGAAAAAACACTTGTACCAGAAGTCCTGAACACCAAGGTTTTAATTGTGATTCTGATGTTTACCAGCTTTATTAGCCTGATCAAGTCTTTTTAACTTCTTTTGAGTATCATCATCTGTAAAATGGGAATAATGCCCATTATTACTCATTAGAAAGTGTGTAAAAAAGGGGAGAAAAGGTGTAGAACTCTTGAAAATGTTTCTAGAGCTGTGTGAATTAAGGTATTATTTATTGTATGTATGGAAAATAGAATTACTTCACCCTTCCTTATGAATGCTTTAAGAGTAGTTTTTATTTCAAACTATTTTCTCTTTTCCCTCCCTGCTTTTTGTTAAATATAATACTTAGTTTAGGTAGGTTTTGTGTTGTGACATGCATTAGTAAGTACTGAAAACAAGAAAGTATTCAATTTATAAAATGTAGATTAAAGATATGTTTTGGGGAAGACCCATTTTAAAATCTTGAAGTTGCTCCTCTTTTGTTACTCTAAATCTAGATCAGAAGAACAGTACAGACTTCAAAGGACTCTAAAGAACTAACACTAATAAAGCAACACAAGCAAGTGTGGTGGCAAGAACACCAAAGGCTAACTGAACTCAGGTGAGAACTGGGGAAAGTCTCAGTAAGAACACATCAGAATTATGAAAAATTGTACTTCTCTAATCAGATGTTCTATAACTTTCAATGTTAATTAAACCATTACAATCAAAATATAAAGTTACAGCTTGAACGTGAGTCATATTAAAGGCTTGTCATTTCATCAGTTTAATTTGAAATTCAGTGGCTATATTAATGTGGATTTTTTATTTCCTTAGGGAAAAAAAATTCCATTTCTGGTAATCACTTCCTTTTCTGCACAATATGAACTTCCTTTCTACATGCCCATTTTCTCATAATGCCAATCTTCGCATAATGACCTAGTCTTTGGTGGAACCTAACCATGTCTATAAGTGAAGAGTGAGCGTACTTACTTTCTTGCTCATGGTTTTAGTTTGAAGGCATTATATTAAAAGTATCATCACTAAACAGAAGATATCATGAGATTGTACCAATCAAATGCACCAATTAAATGTTTGAAGATCAAATTGAGACCACTATTAACACTGTGTGACTCACAGCACCAGAGAATTTGTTCTGTGTCCTGCTCCTGAGCTCACTCCTTTAGTCAGTAATTAAGACTTCCTTCTTAGGTCTCTGTGGTAAGCTCATGTGGGACAGGATATTTCAAGGTTGAGAAGTGAATCAAGTAGCCAAGGGTACAGTACTAAGCCATCTGGGCTTCTGAGTTCCTTCCTGTTGGAGATATTGAGCTTCTGCTTTAGCCTACCCTGGTGCCCTACATTTTTGCAAATGTCCAGACTTGAAGTTTCATTTATGGAATTTGAACATAGTCTCTTTCTCTGCCTTTCATGGTCCACATTCTTTTGATTATTGTTTGCTTAAAGGCTTCTGACTCCATCTTTCCCCTGCACCTATGTTTCACTTGTTCTGCTGAAATGGTACTTAAGTGGTGATGGCAGCCTGGAAATACCAGGAAGCTGTGTGCTTTTTGATGTTCTGAGAAGACTGATTCTCTACCTAGGACTTTGGCACTATTCTGGAAGGACAAGGACCTGTGCTGAAAATAGGTACCTGAGGGCTCAACAACACTCTTCACTATATTGACTTCCTGCAAGGGATTGTACTGCATCTGAGTATGTGTAGGAACTTGATTAATATATCATTTATAAAAATGTTGTTGTTAGTTGCTGTCAAGTTGGTTTTGACTCATAGTGACCCTATATACAGCAGAGTGAAACACTGCGCCATCCTGTGCCATCCTCACAATCATGGCTATCCTCGAGCACATGGTTGCAGCCACTGTGTCAATCCATCTTGCTGAGGATCTACCCCCTTTTCACTGACCCTCTATTTTCCCAAGCATGATATCCTTTTCCAGAGACTGGTCCCTCCTGAGAACAAGACCAAAGTATGAGAGATGAAGTCTGCCCATACTCGCTTCTAAGGAGCATTCTGATTGTACACAGATAATTACACAACAATTCAAGATGCTCATTTTGAAGCCATATTGCCTGTGTGAGAAGAAATCAGAATCACAGACAAAGTAGCATTTTGTGGTCCTTAAGTTGGCAGATTTGGACATGGGAAAAATTTGGACATCCGTCCCCTCTTCAGATGTAAAAGAAGTTACATGTGCTTCCAAGCCCCAGCTTGGTCTAGTCTAACATGGTGAACAGAGCAAGGTTCTATTTTCCAAAGTTGCCATGTTCAGTAGCTTTGGGCCTAAGACAATTTCTATCTATGTTTCCTAAATCATATTTCATAAAACATGAATATTCTTCAAGATATTTCATGGAAAATAATGAGTTTCATTATCAGATAAATGAAGAAAATACTTTGTCTTCCATCCCCTTCATGGACACCCTTAATGCACTTCAGCATAATAAATTTTCTGAGAAATCCTGAACTATAAAAATTTGTGTCATTTTTTTTGTGTACAAGATCATATCATCTGCAAATAGAGATAGTTTTACTTCTTCCCTTTTAAACTGGATGCTTTTTATTTCTTTCCTTTTTTTTTTTTTTTTTGCCTGGTTGCTCTGACTAGAAAGTTGAATAGAAGTGGTGAGAGCGGGCATCTTTGTCTTATTCCTGATCTCCGGGGGAAAGCATCCAGTCTTTCACAATTAAGTAGAATGTTAGCTGTGAGATTTTCATAGATGGCACTTACCTGGTCAGGGAAGTTCTCTTTAATTCCTAGTTTGTCAAATATTTATATCATGAAATTGTCAAATGTTTTTCTGTGTCTACTGAGATATCAAGTGATGTTCATTCCTTATTTTACTGATGACATGTATTACATTAATTGATTTTTATATGTTAAACCAATCTTGCAACCCTGATAAAATCTCACTTGGTCATGGTGTGTAATCCTTTTTATATGCCACCAGATTCCGTTTGCTAGTATTTTGTTGAGGATTTTTGCATTCATAGTTATAAAACAGATTGATCTGTAGTTTTGTTTTTTTCTTGTGATGTCTTTGTCTGACTTTGATATCAGAATAATACTGGCCTCATAAAGTGAGTTGGGAAATATTAATAATCTTCTAATTTTGGAAGAGTTTTTGAAGAATTGATATATATATATATATATATGGTAGAATTCAGTAGTGAAGGCTTATTTTGGGTCAAGATTTTTCTTTGTGGATATTTTTTTTGGTGGTTTTCATTTATTTAATTACTATTTTGATCTCTTAATTTGTAATAGGTCTATTTAGATTATCTATTTCTTCCTGAATCAGTTTTGGTAATTTGTGTCTTCCTGGGAATTTGTCCATTTCATCTATCTAGTTGGATCAATTTATAGTCCTTTTTATTTATGCAAGGTTGGTAGTATTATCCCCAGTTTAATTTTTGGTTCTAGTAAGTTGAATTTCCTCTCTTTTTTTGTTGGTCAGAGTAGCTCAAGGCTTGTCAGTTTTATCCTCCTCCCTCAATCATAAGGCCTGTATCCCATAATAAGCAGCTGATTAGCAGTAGTAGGAGTCTCTGGGTGGCACAAACGGTTAGGTGCTTGCTGGAAGGTTGGTGGTTCAGACTCAACCAGAGGTGCCTCTCAACAAAGTCCTGGAGATCTGCTTCTGAAAGGTCACAGACTTGAAAACCTATGGAGCAGTTCTATTCTGCACACATTGGGGTCACCATGAATTGACTTGATGGTAATAGTCTATGTTTTTTGTGTTTGTTTTATTTATTTTTTGTTGTTTAGTAGAAATAAGGAAGAGGAAAATCTATAAAATATGGCCTTTATCTCAACTTAGATATATTTTAACTTGAGGGAGAGAACATCACACCTAGTGATCTTAAAGTTTTATGTGTTCATGATACTTGTGGCATATAAGTACCCCAATATTCTTTCTTCCTTCCACCATTAACATAAAAAATTCCTAAATGGGTCTGGGCACCCCCACAAATATCTTAACACAACATTTATTGCTAAGTCTACATATGTTTTCCTTAATGTCCTAGTTATCAGTAGAAAAAAAATATCAAAGTTCTACATCAAATAAAGGAAAAGTTCAAAGGTCTCAGCGCTATCTAGAATGGCCTTTGTCATAGATAAGGAATAGCTATAAACCTGTTCTCTGGCAGGGACAAACTGTAGAAATGCTCATTCCAATTCCACTGGAGAACTTATTCTTGTTTCCAAGCCTACCCTAAAGCATAATTGAAACTCAGGAAGGTGGAGGCAATACTGGTTCATTGTTTGTCAAACTGTGTTCTCTAGAACCCTAGGTGATCCAATAGCCAGCCACCCTGGAGGACCAGAAGAAGGCTAAGTGAACTCAAACTCTGCTTCTCCCACTTCGATCAGAACAGCTCCAATTGTATCTATTTCAACATCAGCATAATATTTAGTTTCAAGAAAGAATTTGATTGTTTAATGTTTTGAGGGACTTATAAACTGGAAAAAAAAATTATGTTGATTCCACCCTTGACTTCAATAGGTTGTTCTCTGTGACTATAGTCTCAACTTCAAAGTGGGAGGAATATTATTGTCAATCTGATATTGTTGAAAAAATGTATATAGTTTGAATAAATAAACCACATTAGATTGAAATTATATTGAAAATTTCAACTGCCAGTTATTTTTAAAACATATATGTTCATGATTGTGAATATTGGTTGAGATAACATCCATCCATTTCAGATGTAAATTGGAACTGGAAATAAAATCCTTTCTCAATGAAGAGAACATTGGAGATGAATATCTTTCTGACCTTATAGATTTTGGTGAGATTTTCATCCTGTATTCAAGGGGCAGGGGTTTGTATTTAATAATGAAAGTGGGCCACTTATTTCATAGTCTTTTAATATTAACTGCTGTTTGTTTGTTTGTTTGTTAAAGAATCCCCAAATAAAACTATACTCTAATTGCCTGTTCTTGAAGAAACTTAAAAAAAAATGTCCTTGATTCAATTTTGTTTTACCACAGAACAAGAGTTATCAGAACAATGGTGTCAGTATCTTAAAAATGTGGTAGATCCTATTCAGCAGTTGAGAGCAGATCTGAAATACAGACAGCATCACATTTTACAGCATTCAGACCCAAATACTGAGTTTAATGCAGTCAAAGTGCTGGAAGAGGTTTGTATGTTATTTTAGTTTTTTTCCTAACTACCTACTCCTTCTTCTTCCCAGCCCCTTATAACCACCAATCTTTTGTTTTGATGGTTTTGCCTATTCTGGATATTTCATGTAAGTGGGATCATACATTATTGGTTCTTTTGTGTTTGACTTATTTCACTCAGCATGTTTTCAAGGTTCACCCATGTAGTGGCATATGTTGTTGTTATGTGCCATCGAGTCAGACCCAACTCATAGCGACCCCTCCTTGGGTTTCCGAGACGGTATCACTATGGAGGTAGATTGCCCAACCTCCCTTCCGAGGATTGGTTGGTGAGTTTGAACCACCAGCCTTCTGGTTAGCCCTTATCTCTTATTATTTATATATAGTACATATATATACATGTTCATTAATCTATTGCTGAACACTTGGTTTGTTTGCATCTTTTGGCCATTATGATACTTGTGGCATATAGGTACTCTAATCTTTCTGTACATATATTTATTTGAGTTCCTGGTTTCAGTTCTTATGAGTATATACCTAAGAGTGGGATTGCTGGGTCTTTTGGTAATTCTGGAGTCCCTGGGTGGCACAAACAGTTAAGCTCTACTAAGTAAAAGTGGCCAGTTTGAATCCACCCAGAAGTGCCTTGGAACAAAGACTTGACAATCTACTTCAAAAAGATCACAACATTGAAAACCACATGGAGTCCATTCTACTCTGAAATACATGGGGTCATGAGTAAGAATCTACATGATAGCAACTGGCTTTTTGTTTTTTGTAGTAATTCTATGTTTCACTTTTTTGGGTACCACCAGACTATTTGTTACTGTTATTTTTGAGTGAGTATGTACTTTTCATTTTTTTTCAATTAAAACTGTTTGAGATGAAAAACAAATATGTGCATTGTGCATTTAAATAAAAGATAAAGCAAATCATATCCACTCCATATTATAAACATATTCTTGAATCTGTTCAAGCACTCTACTTTCTTGCCTGAAATTTTGCAATAGGCTCATCATGAGTCCTCCCTGTTTTCATCCTGAGCTTTCCTCCTGTGCATTCTTTTAAAATATGTAGAACAGATCAAGTCACCCCTGTTAGTCTCCCAGGGGCTTCTGCTGGTCCTCACATCGTCCCTACAAACAGGGTCTGACGCCATATCCTACATGGCAGCCCCTTTTCCCATGAGAGCTCAGTCACTCTGATACTGGCTGTTTTGGTTACCTCTGTGCTGCTCTAACAGAAAATACCACAGATGGGATGGCTTTAACAAACAGACATTTTATACTCTTACAGTTTTGGAGGCTGGAAGTCTGAGTACAAGTGCCAGGCTCTAGGGGCTGAGTGAAAGCCCTTTGGCCTTGGGCTTGAGCTCTGCCTCTTGTTCCCAGCCCACTGAAGCTAGAGGCATCTCTTTACTCAGGCAGCTGCTGGCTGCTAAGGCTGACAAACCCGAGATAAACTAGTGAAAAGGCACAGTCCCGATATTATCAAACCACATGGCAGGCTATTGATTCAAGTCCATTAAAAGACCCAAGATTGGCAGAGCATGGAAGGCTGCTGAAAGAAGACTCAGCTACATGCAGAGTCTAAGCATGCCAAAAAGCTGGAGACCTTCCTCAAAGTTGCTTCTTATATACTGGAAGCAGACCACATCCCTAAAGCAGGTACTCAGTTGCTCCAGTAGATTCTACCATGGAATTAATTACCAGTCTCACCATGGGGAATAACTACATCCAGCTGCCCAGCCACTCAACCAGGCCCAGCCAAGTTGACACACAAACTCAACTACCACACTGGCCTTATTTTTCTATTCCTCACACACGCTAGGGTTGTTCTTGTTTCAAGGCTTTTGTATATTTCTTCTGTCCCATTGCTGGTACTTTCTGTCATTTAGATCACAGCTTAAATGTCTTGTTATCCAAGAGTTCTGTCCTGATCACTCACATGAGAGAAACCAGTCACTTCCTGTCACACCATTTACTCCTCTTGGTACCTTTTTTTTTTTTTTTTCCTATTAGCTTATTGACTGCCTCCCCCATCTAGAGCATAAATGTAGTTGTGCTAGGTGTAGGATTGTAGGTGCTTTTCCCCTCCCCCAGTTATTCAGCAGTGTTGTTATATTGCTTTCATAGTAATAATAATCTAAAAAATCATTAAAAATCCATGCTTAGCTATTTTTCTGGGAATTAGAGGCAAGGATGTAAAGGAAGAAGGGGTGATTGCAGCAGAGACAGTCTGATAAGGTCTCTGCCTTACCACAAACAAAATCCAAATGTGGGTGCAGCATGGTTATGAACCCACTATACTTCCTGAGCCCATTTTCAGGTTATTTGTCTGGAAACCCGGTTGAGGCTCTAATGAGCAGTGTCTGGCTGTGACATCTCTTAAATTATGTTCCGCAAATACTCAGTGAAACTTTTTTTAATCTGATTTTTACCACTCAATGGTTTTTGAGAATAATTCCTGTTCCTTTTTCAATAATTTGCAATCTACAAAGGTTGTTCTCAATGTGCTATAGGTTGACTTTGTGAAGAAACAATTGAAAGCTGTTTCTGAAAGACTTAACCTGGAGCAACAGAAAATACAAAATGATCTTTCAGATTGGAGTATGAAAGTAAGTGTGATGCAGATAGTAATTTATTTGTGTATCAATTTGTCATTTATGTGAAATAAAATAATCATTTATTTTTTTTTTTCAGATACTAGACCATTCTTTAGAAGAAAAAAGTAACCTGCTTAGTGAACTGCCAGTTGAATTAGAAACTTTAGAATGTCCATGCCCTGATTTGAAATCTTCAATCCTTAGTGAATTCTGTACCTTTACACAGAAATATCAAAGGAAACTTCAAGATTTTGATCTACAGTTAGAAGAGATATACAGGTGATAAGATTAAAACTACTTGAATCTTGTAAATTTTTGCCACTATAATTTGTTTCTTGGGGGGCTATACTTCTGAGTTAATGTTTCATAGTTACTATCTGATTGAAAAACAGTCAATAAATATAAATTTAGATTGACTTCTTCTCAAAAGAAGAAGATACTTTTCCAAAATAATTTTCCTGAAATAGAGTCTTAAGATTTTACAAGGCTAAAACATGAGCTCTTTACTATATAGTTAAGGAATAGTTTTCAAGTACAATGGAAAAAGCCCCCACAGAATTATGTTACTTCTGATCCACTATGATTTTGTATTATAGGATGAATATAGCATGGTTTCTAATTCTTTTTACATTTCATGTATATCTGAAAAAAAAAGTTTTTGAGTGTTGTACTTTTGTTTGTATCCTTAGAATGCCAATCCTTTTATGAGTGGCAAATATAATGTTAAGTGGTTTGAAATTTTGGCATGGTCATCTTTTCTAGTGTAGCTTCTATACTGAAAGTCATTTAAAGAACAACCCGGAAATGCCACCCCAAATTAGATCAATGGTCTACTTCATGTAGTATCTGTATATGAAATTTCTGGGAAACATTTTTGAAGGAAAACTTGTTTTTGGTCTGTTAACTCAAACTTTTTTTCAAACAATGTTTACTTAAAGGAAAACTACTGAAGGGACACATTTATAGAAAAATAAAAAGTTTAGAAGTTTCCTACTTTGAAATGTAAAATAAGAATGTGACAAATACTTACATTTTTTGTACTTCTTTATGAATTGTCTATGAATGAAGTGTTTCTCCATGAAACTAATGATGTTTAAGAAATGAACAACAAAGAAAACCTTAAATCCTACCAAGTAGAGTGCTTTGGTAGCTTTTAGGCCCAAGCTCCTCAGTTACAGTTCAGCCCCATTGTAGGTAACGGGCCAATCCTAGGTGAAGTCTGAGTCTTGTCTGACTTTAGCTTCTTTCTATTGGCTTTGTGGGGATACACAAATATTACTTCCCGTGAAACACCTTTTGGCTTCCTCAAAGACTTTCTTCCCTTTTTTCCCTTCCTTTCTTCCTTCCCACCTTGCCATAAGCTGAATAGAAAAGTTAATAATAAACCATTTACATTTGTTGATTAATTAATTACACTTTAATTGAAATTCAGTCACAATATAAAGTTAACTCAACCATGCACTTAGTTTTAAGTCTTTACTTGTAAAATGAAGGTCCTCTCTTTCCTTCTCCCCCCCAGCCTTGTTAAAGAGAACTTATCAAACAGGAGGAAGAGGGTTTTTTTCTCTCTCTCTCTTTTTTTGTTTTTGTTGGAAGAAGAGGGCATTATAATCAGGATGTGAAACTTGGCTGTGAAGGAGGTAAATCTGATTCTGTTCTTTTAAAGCAAGCTGGCTGGCCCATGGTCTTTCCTCCCAGATGGTACCTTGCCCCCTAGGAAAGCTGACTGAGATGTTTCTATGTTGCAGCTGCTATATATGGAGGAGCCTGCCTGAGCAGGCTGCAGTGGGTCCCTTCCACTAAGACCTATTCTTCCCTGCCCATTTTCCTACCTTCCTTTTAATCTGAACTCAATTTCTTCTCTCCCTTTGTCTAACCCTGTGCCACTCATTTTATGTTTTTTTTTTTTTTTTAAATCGATTTGTTGTCATTTTAGTTAGTGGTTAATGACTAGTGGTTCATGACTCCCCTCATCTACTATCTATTGATCCTATTTCTGGTTATGATATTTCTGAGAAATAACAGTGAAATAATTACATTCTCTTGATTGATAGAAGTATAACTGTATCTATAGTCTAGTCATGCTTTGTTGTTGTTGTTGTTATGTGCCATCGAGTCAGATCTGACTCATAGAGACCTCTCCTTGGGTTTCCGAGGCAGTATCACTACAGAAGTAGATTGCCCCATCTTCCTTCTGAGGAGTGGCTGGTGGGTTTGAACCGCCAGCCTTCTGGTTAGCAGTCAAGTGCCTTAGCCACTATGCTACCAGAGCTCCCCTAGTCATGCTAGGCATTCTGAATTAGTAAGAATCTTTATACTCAAGGAACTTACAGTCTTGTTGGAAGTACTTATAGTTTAACAAAGTTAAATTAAAAAGTTGGGATATATTGCTATATTACAACAAGCATGTAAGATTACATACAGAATAAGATGTATAGATATTACATGCTAAGATTTCTGCAGAAGTAAAAAGCAATAAGGAGCTATGGTGGCATAATGCCTAAGGCATTTGACTGCTAACTAGAAGACTGGCAGTTCAAATCCACCAGCCACTCCTCGGAAGGAAGATGGGGCAATCTACTTCTGTAGTGATACTGCCTTGGAAACCCAAGGAGGGGTCGTTATGAGTCGGGTCTGACTCGACGGCACAGAACAACAACAACAACAAGAAGCAATGAGGGGAACAGCTTAGGATGGCTTGATGGAAGGAGTCAAATTCACTATGGACTTTGAAGAATGAGGCTTAGAATTGGCAAAGTACAAGTAGGGAAGGTTGTGTAAGAAAGAAAATTAAATGACTACATTATAAATTTTGTGAGGACAGAGTCATTTTGTAGCTATATTTGTACCCTTAGCACCTAGCAGACATTTGGCACACAGCAGCTTCTAAAAAACATGCTTGTTCAATTGAGTTTAATTGAAGGTGAAAACCATGAAGGTGAGAGTGGAAAGGCATGTTATAAGAGTAGTAAGGAGAGCATTTTGGAGAAATAAAAGGTACATAAATTCTGGTTTAATAGTCTACTTGTAGCATGTAGTTATCTAGAGTACCTTTTATATGATTGATGATATATTTTATTTGATGAATATTTATTGAGTAATTCTTAACATACAGTAATGATCTCTACTAAGCTCCTTGGTAGGGGATTCAACAGATAGGGTAGACTAGAATACGGCCTTTCCTTTGTGAAGTCTTCAAATTGAGAGAAGCAAAATATGCACATATACCCTCATCAAATAAAAACTACATGCAAACATTAGTTGCAGAGACTATTTTATAAATATGCTGAAAGTGAAGGATGAATATCAATAAAAATGAGGTTTTAAGAATAATTTCCTTGAAAGAGAGTAAAAGGTGTATTTTGAATAGATATAGAGGTGTTGAGCATTAGCAATCTGTGGCTGGTGGGCAGTAAGGCACATAGATGTTCTTCAAAGAATAAGTAAGGTTAGCACAATTGACTAGCACCATGAATAATAAGTTACATTGTAGTGTAAATGGAACTTCAAATTTTCCAGTATTTACCCTTATTTTGACAGGGCCATTTCCTCTTTTGGTTCTGGGTTTTAGGACTCATAAGAATTCACATAGACTGTGTGGATGTATATGCACCCCTGCAAGAGTGAGTGTGTACATACTTTAAACAGACGTACTACTATGACATAAGAAGGTAAACATATCTGGGAGGAAATTTAAAACTGTAAGAAGTTTTTTATTGGACTGACAGTAGTGTATATCATGGTTAGTCCAATATTTGTTTTAGTTCCCCTTATTGGAGGCACCGTGCCTAAGGCATTTGACTGCTAACCAGAAGGTTGGTGGTTCAAACCCACTAGCTGCTCCAAGGAAGGAAGATAGGGCAATCTACTTCCACAAAGATTTACCGCCTTGGAAACCCAATGGGGGTCGCTATGAGTTGAAGTCAACTTGATGGCAGTGGGTTTGGTTTTTGGTTTATTTTGTCATCAGGGACCACTCCTTGGAGAAGGATAGTCATGCTTGGTAAAGTAGAAGGTCAGCAAAAAAGGGGAAAACCATCAACAAGATGGATTGACACAGTGGCTCCAATGATGGGCTCAAGCATAGCAAAGATTGTGAGGATGGTGCCCAACCAGGCAGTGTTGTACATAGAGTTGCTATGAGCCAGAGCCAACTCAATGGCAGCTAACAACAACATTTTGCAACAGCTCATTGGTTTGGGCCAGACTGACTCCATCTACGGATCCAAAGCTTGCTTTGATGGAGAGTGTATGCCAGTTAGCATAGCCTCATTTCCCTAGGACATAAGGCTGGCTCAGGGTGTTCCAAATTGGGGCAAAGCTCAGGACTTTTGTTAGATGCTTTTTCTTTAAAAATGAAAAGTAGGGCCTTCTCCCTGAATATGACCAACCAAGCACATTACTAAGGTTGCTGCTGATAGCCGTTTTGTGAATGAAGGAAGCTAGATCACCATGAAAAGGTAAAGCCCTGAGAATCACAGAGTAATACAGGACACAGACCTGGTGCCCTGATTGAACTGTATGGAAAGCTCATCTTGCTGCTAGATTTTCAAGGGCTACTAGTTCACATTATTGTCTTAAACTACTGTGTGTTTGTTTTTGGTTGCTTGCATCTCACACCATTGAGTAAAATATAAGCCTGAAACACAAAACAATGTGCAGTGCACATTGTGTAAAATATAAAAAATTAAGTATGTGTATATATATTGCTTTTATAGGCTCCTGGGTGGTGCAGATGGTTTAGCACTCAACTACTAGCTGAAGTGTTTTTGGTTCAAACCTACTCAGAGGCACTTCAGAAGACAGGCCTGGCATTAGCTACCAAAAGGTCACGGCCTTGAAAACCCTATGAAACCATTCTATTCTGTACACATGGGGTAACAACAATTTGCTTTTATATATCTAAAACAATGCACAAAAATTGATAACATTCAGTGCCTCTGGGGAGAGGAGGTAGATTCCTGGGGAATAACGAAAGAGAGAGATTTTTTTGTATACTCTTTCACTGTACCATTTGAATTTTGAACTATGTAAATATATTATCTATCATAAAAACAAATTTTAAAGCAAAAAAATAATAATTTCACAAGGGTAAAATTAAATTACAAATGTAGGAAAACATTGGCAATATACCAGACACAAAAGATTAAAATTCCTAACCTGTAAAGATATTTTACAAACTAATTGAAAGTTGAATGGCTAAAGTATTGAGCATCTGTTGTTGTTGTTAGGTGCTGTCAAGTCAGCTCTGACTCATAGCTACCCTCCACACAACAGAA